TCCGGGCCAGGCTGGGCTGCCACCACTCAGTCCACAGGCCGCGGGCCCAGGGCAGAGGTCGGACCAGCCCTCGAGGGCCCTGGCCTCTCCGGTGGCCCCAGGCCCTGGCAGGCTGGAGCAAAGCAGTGGGGGCCTGAGGGCCTGGGGCCTGGCGCCCTTCCCCACGCCTTGGGCCGAGCCCGGGACGCCAGTTCTTCCCAGCCCTCGCTCTGGGACACTCAGGCTGCCCCACCGCCGCCCGCTTACCCTCCTCCCGGAGACCCTGACACCCGCCACCCCAGCGCTGGCTCTGGGCCCACAGGTGACTGGAGCCTGGCAGAGCCAGACCAGCGCGTCCTGGGGGCGGGCGCGCAGCACAGGCCTGCCACGGGGGTCCTGGCTCAGGGCGTGCTCACCCCTGCCCTCTGGGGCCGCCAGCCGCCGCGGGGCCCCCTGACTGCCTGGGCTTGGCCCCCCCGGCACCGCCAAGGAGCTGGGCCTGCAGGCCGGGGCTCTGCTTTCCGTCCGCTGCGGCCGACTCGGGCTGTGGCTCAGGCTGCCGGCAGGGTGGACAGCGAGTCCCTGGCCACCTCCTCTTGCTTGTCTGGGAGCTGTGGGCACCTGCCGAGAAGGGGGTCGCTGGGCCGGGCCGGGGGGCCGAGCGTCCAGAGGCGGCCTGGAGCCCAGCAGCGTGAGGTGGGGCGTCGGCATCTCGGCCACCCCGGCAGCCTGGGCTTGGGGCGGGAGCTGATTTCCGGATGCTCAGGCCGCCCCGGGCCCTGTGCCGACCCCGGCAAGGCAAGCTGGGCCGAGCCCCTCCTGCGCTTCCTCCCCGGCAGGGAGAGGCCGTCAGGGCTTGGAGGCGGGGGGGGAGGCCGCTGTCTGGGGGCCGCTAGAGCTCACCCCGAGAGCCCCCGAGAGTGCCAGACCCCACACCCAGGAGGGCCGGCGGCACTGGCCCCGGAGGCCCCTGCCCAAGCTGACCCGCCAGGCAGGCCGGTACCTGCTCGGGGAGCCCCCACCCCCACCAGGCGGGGCAGGGCAGTGGGCGCGATGGGCCACCCTTGCTGTTCTCCCCCACTCCCACACCAGGGGGCCCCGGGGCTCAGGGACACCCCGGGCAGAACCCCAAGGGCCTGTGAGTCTGGCCATTAGCTCCGGGGCTCCCTGGGGTGTGAGGGGCAGGCGGGACCCGCTGCCAGGGCGAGGCCGCCACCTGGTCTGTGCCCCCAGCCCCCGGAGCCCCTGCGCCCTGACTGGAGTCTGGGGCGTGCTGTGGCCCGGGGCAGACACCCCACGCGCGGGCACCCGCGGGCACACCTCTCCCTGCCCGCAGCCGCCACGCCCTGTGCCCTCCCACTCCTGGGGCCAGGCCTTTCTGTGGGGGGCAGAGGCCGGGACAGGGCTGGCCGTGGGGCAGGGGGAGGGCTGCCTCCTCCCAGCGCCCC